TTTACTTATTTTTATTTTATTAATTTAAATATTTTATTTTATTGTTTTATTAATTACTTTGTTAAACTACTGTTATAGAAATATAGAATGTGTAAAAGTTATATAATTTGTTATAGTTACATAATATAAAGCTATAATTTAATTACAGCTTTGTTTATTATATTTACTATTGTATATTATTAATGTAAAATTCAATTACAATTTAAAATTAAAGATGATATATTTTATATTTTCTGTCTTATAGACATATAAAACAAAAAGATTGATATTTTGACTGATATAAATATTATGCATTTTAAAAAGTGTATTGCACTGTTTAGTGTAATTTTCAAAAGTTTATTAAAATATTTCTTGTTCCAATTTTTTAGATGGCCTTCTGCGAAGAAACTTTATGACAAGCAGTCTAAGAAAAATGAGCAGGACGAATCTGAAGAAAATGAACAGAAGGATAAAAAAAGCTTAAATTTTATGGAAACAGGCATAAATTGTACGAGACAATTACGGAATTATGTGTCTCAAATAATTCATAAACATTATTCTAACAATAAGAGAATCAGTAATGTAACGTTTCATCACATATTTCGTCATAGGGATAAACATTTAATGGATAACATTTCTGATATAATTGTTAAGCCTGAAAATTTTATGAAATATTCTTTCTTCATTGATGAGATGAAAAACTTGCTTACACAATCTCCACGGTAGGATTCTCAATATAAATTATAGTGCTATTAATTTCATATATACTTATTGCACAGTTAATATGTAAATTTTTCAGAAGAACCGGATGCGATCTAACTGAAAGATATTATAATATAGAAATGTTTGAATATATGAGGCGACATTTTGTAAAAATAAAGTTAGATAGATATGTTATGCAATCGCATTGGGTAAGTTAATTTTTTTTTAACAAAGTTAAGTTTAAAGTTAACGGCCCAAAAATTAACTAAGTTTACGTTAAAAGTTAATTAAATAAAAATTAACTTAGTTAAAGTTAAGTTAAAAAATTATTAATATATTAAAAAGTTAAATGTTGATTATGCAAAACTGTATGTTTTTTATATAATTAATCTTTTAATTGTACATTTTAAATTTAAGTGATATAATAAGAAGGTAATCTTTTATAAAAGAGATAATGCGGTTTTCCTTATTTAATAATACATATTATTTAAATATGTTATAGTTATAATAGAGATATTATAGAGTGTTTAAAAACAAAACGGTTAATTAAGAATAATCAAAACAATCAAAACAATCAAAAACAGGATACTTGTGTCCAGATAGAGCGAATCAAACTGAAGGAAACTTCTGTACCATTTTACGAATTATATAATAGTTATCAAGGAATTAATTAAACAATGTTAGCGAATGAATACGCGGGAAACGGGACAACGAGCTCTGTAGACAAGGTCTTATCAAAATGGCTCGAATTTGTTGATGATCAGTTGGCAACAGCAAGCCGTGCGTAATGCTAACTGCACAACTCCGATGTCTACCATCATGAATAGTTTGCCTTTGCAAGAGATTAAGCATACAAATGAATAATCCAAATTTCTCAGCGAAATTCAAGATTTATTTTAAAAGAAAGTAAAACAAATTTTTCTGTCAAGGTATTTTTTTCCAGTAATATACGAAATCCTATAACACCATCGGTCTCTAATAATATCTCGTCGGTGTTTTCGATAATAAAATAATAACTGGATGATTTAAAATAACCGTAAAGTAATTAAATAAATCGTGTAATTATCTTTGATTCATCAAACGGCCGGTAATGTCAACATTTTTCAATTACCTCCAGGCCCACCGGGCCCACTTGATGGTAACAAAAATTTACCCAGGGCTGACGGTCTTTAATAGTATCTCGTCGGTGGTTAAACTGAACAGAAAAGTCCTGTAACATTTTTTTTTATAACGCTTAATAAAGGAGTTATTATTGAGTAAAGTCTGGTCAATCAGCGCCGACTTTTAGCCGCGCGCCTGGTAGTATGCGGCGGCGCACACTTCATGGAGGCAACTATGATTTTCTTTCTTACTTCCTTCCGACATGTTTTTCTATCGGGAAACAAAGGCACATTCCCCTTCCATTTATATATGTTCTAAGGTTCTAAGGTTTAACCCACTCTACCTGCATGAGAGGTGATACGGTTATTATGGGACACCCTGTATAAGTTGACCTAAAAATGGCGGAACCAATCAGAGTAGAGGACAGTATCCGCTCCATTCTGTCTTGATTCTCTCTGGCTGGAACTAGAGTCCCTAAAGATAGAGTCTGGCCACTCGATTAGTTTTAGAAAAACATGGCGGCGGTGTATACATGACGTGTAGTTGCAATTGCGTTGTAAAAGTTAAAAAATTTATATTTTTATTATATATAGTTTATACAAATTTATATGATAAGTTTTAAAAATATTAAAATATTTTTAAAAATACATATTTATTAATTTTTAAATTAATAAATATCTTTATTAATTTATTAATATATTTTATTAATTTATTACTTTAATTTATTAATTTTTTAATATTTAAAAGAATATTTATTTATGTTAAAATAATGCGTATCAATATGTGTATTTATTCAGCGTTGAATTCGCGAAGAGAAGCACTATAATATTATGACATGTATATTTACATATCTAACGGTTAACGTGGCCTCATTATATGCGACACATGATTTTTTTGCAAATAAAATCGCGATATGACGTAATTTACTGCAAGATATGTCATAAGATGAAAACACGTAAAGTCACGTTCCCGCGCGATGGGCAGTTCAATTTTATATCGTTAGATGACGTATACACCGAAATAACTTTTTCAAGAGCGTCTCTCTGCTTTTGAGCTGCCCCTCTCACGGCCAACAGGTTTAAAAATAAATATGTGTCACGCACAGTTCGCTCCCCTTTTTTTTTCCCTCGCGCCATCCTAATTCACCCTCATTTTTATTCTTTATTTCGCAGGCCGTTTAGCGGTTGCTACAATAAGTTTTACGAAAAGGGAACGTACACCTGTATCGTTTGCGATCAGGAATTATTCTCCTCGGATACCAAGTACGACAGCGGATGCGGTTGGCCTGCATTCAATGAGGTTTTGGATCAAGGACGCATTAAATTGACCAAAGACACCTCTCATGGTAAGCGATTATGGTCTTCGTTAGCGTATCTTTTATAATGCATTCTCAGAATGGCATTCTCTGGACACATATATATACATCTTGCGTTTGTTTCAACATTAAACATTGCACAATTCCTTTAATAATACGCGGGTACACTCGAAATCGTATTATGATATTTATTAATAAAGTCCTCTTGATAAATCCTTGCACCGTTTTCTTTTTAAATTATTATGCTTCCCATAACAATTTCTATTGGTTCCGCCATGTTTTTCCAAACTTCGTTTTGACCAATAAAAAGGAACACGCACCGTGGCTAGACTCTATCTTTAGGGACTCTAGCTGGAACATGACTGGAGCGCCAAGAGCTCGCGGAGTTATCGCAGGAAATCGCGGCAGCGCGTTCGAAGCGCGGTTCAGTCGGGTCCGGTGCAGCGAAGTTGGCCGATATAAGGGTGCGCGTGTACTCGCGAGAGCGGCTTCAAGAGTAGGTTCTCTCTCGTAACGACGAAAGCGCGGCAAGATTGCCCGTCTCTCGCGCTAGAACCGTCAGGTGAAACCGCGTGCTTGGCACGCATATATTCGACTCTAGGGAAATTCGATCCCGTCTCAAGATTCTGCGATTCACGCTCGGTGCTGTCAGGAGGATGACAACGGTGATCGACAAGGAGGAGGCGCGGAAACGCTTGACGCCGTTGCAGTGGCATGTGACGCAGGAGAAGGGCACGGAGAGGTGAGGTTTTTTTCCATGAAGAGGCGCGAAACTCGAAAAACTCCGTGTCAGCGAAAATCATGATGACTCGACACTAGGTTCATTTTCACATATCTTTGTCACGGGAAAATAATCCAAATGATAATTGTACGAGGATTTTGAATCAATTTTTGCTTTACGTAGTAGATTGTGCCTTGACTAAAGAACGAGTGTTCATCGAACTATGTGTTTGCGAGAATATTTCTTGTTTGCAAACGCAACATCACAGAGTTTTCTGTTATCACGCTCCGACGATGCATTTGATTTTTCTTCACCAGAGAGAGAGAGGCGATGTCCGCTGATTCTATAATAGTCGAAGCGTATAACATAGTTGCGCAACGGCGATAACATAATAGAGACTTCGAACTATGCTAATTATATTGGTGACACAAACGGATGTTACTCGTCCCGATCCATATTTACACAACGTGCCAGACAATTTTCACCCCACTTCATTTTTTACATTTAAAAATGTCTCATTTGAATTTTAAACACAAATTTATATGATAAGTTCTCGAAATCGTATTATGATATTTATTAATAAAGTCCTCTTGATAAATCCTTGCACCGTTTTTTTTTTTTTTACTATTTACAAAATTATAATTATAACATATATCTCATATATAATTATACACTTGCATAACATTATTAAATTTATCCTGGTCATTTCACCCGTTTATTTTCTGCTTAAAGTAGAAATCTTTTTATATATTTTCAGTCTGTTTCTCATGTGTACAATTATATGTATATTTATAATACATTTTTCATATAAGATAAAAATATCGCAAATTTAAAAAAAATTGTAACTGTAATTTCATTTCAACTCGTTCTTGTGTGGTTTTTTTGATAATATGTTCGTGAATGTAGAAATTTTTTTGTACACATATATTATGCTTAAAAAAATATTTGGATATTTAAGAGAAAATGTTTGTACATAGTTCTCTTGTACATGTAGAATGTTGTATATATTAGACGAAAATTCTTGTTCTCTCTCCCCGATTCCTGCATGCACTTGCTTAGAGTGTGATTGTGTTAGACTTACATCACTTTTTATATTAAACTAATGTGCTACATTATATATGAAATATTCATTGGAAATGTACGATTAAAAAATATCTGTCATATTACTTAAGAATGCTGTACATATTAGCTGCGCTACAAAATTTTCGATGATTGTTCAACAAACATAACTTGCATTCTTGCAATACAAATAATATCTTTTTTTAGCTGCAAATCCTTAACACATAGATATTGTTTTTTACAGCATATTTCTTTGATGCAAATAAAATTCCTTTGCTTTGATGTTATCGTTATAGCCGGTAACAGTTGAGATAACAATATTTGATCATTTGTATGTTTTAATACTCACAGCTAAATATACAAGCTAATAATTATTTCTGCTTTTGCGATATAAACACACTTGATATACAGAAATATATTTGCATATATTATAAACGAAACAAAATATAAATAATAAATAGTTAAGTAAAATATAAAACATGTATAGTATATATTGTGCAATTGCATAATTTTTTGCCAAGCAAACAACAATCAGGTTTGATAATAATTAATGCAGTCAAAAAAATCTCAGTTCATATATAAGAATATATAATAAAACCGTTTCGTATATATGTACGCACCTTTTTATTATTCTTTTAATATCATATAAATGTTATCTATTTTTCTCACGATCGGGGATCAACTTTTCTTCTCTTATAAATAGCTCTCTTTAGATCACGTCTATTACTTCTGAAAAGTGTATCGCGAGAAGGGTGTCGGTCTGCGTCTAATCACACTCTATTATTCTTTCTCCTTTTGCCCTCCTTGATCACTCCTTGGCTACTACTACTACTACCACCACTGAACCACTCTTCACTCTCGTCACTGAAAAAAAACACCACTGAAAATCTCGCGTCACGTCGAATTAAACGACGCCAACTAGTCGGCGGCAATCTACTACTGCTGATCGCAAACCCAGATATGGTGCGGACCGAAGTGACCTGTTCGAAATGCGACGCACACCTGGGACACGTATTCAACGACGGGCCGAAACCTATGAGGAAACGTTTCTGCATCAATTCCGCCTCCATAAGCTTTCACCCGGCGGGAGAGGAGAAAAAGTCTACGTAAAATAAGCTTATTATTTTATAATACTTCCGATATTTATGTGACTCACATGTGCAGTCATATATAATATATATATATATTTATATCTCGTGTTATAAACATTATAAAATACCTCTGATTTATATTTATATGCATTGTAAAGAGAGTGTAATAATCATTATTGCCAATACCACATAGGCTGTTTCTGTAAAATAAAAGTTCGTATTATTATTATATGTATATATATAAAATATATAATGTTTTTATCACTTTTGATGCAATGTGAATACTATATCGTCATTAATTAATCTTTCTATGTCAATTACTATATATTCCTTTGATTTATTCTAATATTTAATTATATATGACTTTTGCATATATTCGCGAATATTCCTTTCTACGTTACAGCTTCTGCAAAAGTTTACCAAGTATCCTATTTACATGCAGAGATAAAACGTTTCCGACCGACTTTTCACACGCGACGAGAAGCTAATTCTATGTTATCAGTTCTGGAAACTCCGTATTGTGTACTGCTTACTCTCTCGATATTACAAATATACTATGTACATATCCGTAATAAAGAGAACAAAAACTCCCACACAAGATGTATGTATACTACGATGTGATGCGAAAAAGCGCGCGATATTGAAAGGATGATGAAAATGTCTAATCAAAGAATGTTATTTTTTCAATAAATGCCATATGTAAAATATATCATATGTTCTAATTTAATATGTCAAATGAAAGACATAAAGTAGATAATCATTTTTCATTTCTCTTAATAATTATCAGGCAGGGAGGATATTTTTCATACAAAAACATATTTGTTATAAAATGTTTCCTTATATTATAACGTTTCAAAACAAACTGAAAGGTGTTATAATACAATATATGCGCAAAATTCTAGGCATTATTTTTACAATTCATTACTTCTTTTCTGTGTTTTTCTTTTTGCACTCCTTTACTTTGAAACTTTTATCTCGTCACAAAAATTTCAAATATTCTTCCTGAGAGACCAGATTTCTGCCGAATGTTTTCCGATAAATGCGTTTCTTTCTTACAAAAGTTAAAGTCGAACGAACCTTCCTCCGTCGGGAAGGGTCGAAGCTTCTTTTTTTTTCAATCTCAGCAGTAAAATAGCGACTTTGTTACTATAGGCCTACTACTTATTTCTTTCATTCGGAGATCACAAAGCATTTTCAAAAACATCGTAAAATGCTATGATAAAACATGCATACACATACTTAATATGATTCGTATATTAGGAACCTATTTTTAAGAATCTAAAAACAGAGACAAGATAATACACGTAGTGTCCACATAGCGAATAATTAAATGCAATTGGAAGGATCATCAAAGTATGGATGCATAATCGGATGCAAAAATGCCTGCATTTTCTTTTTATGTTAAAAGATTCGCCTGCTCGTATTTTTTCTCAGAGCTCTTGTACGTTTGCGATTCGTTTGTCAATGTCAAAAATAATGAGTACTTTCGTAATGCATCACTTATTATTATTACGATAAGGCATGCTTGGTACAATTTTTGTACTTTTGTTCACGTGATAAAAGGATCATTCGGTACCATTATCAGCGAACATCTATCTACATGCTAAGATGCGCTTTAATCAGGGTGTGCATCGATCGGATGATGATATTTTATGCAGGCAGTTTTGCATCTCGCGCGACCAGATTTGCGTAAGTAAAATTAGAGATATTAATTATAATAGCTGCTAATATATAGCTGTAGTATATATTTGTTAAAATATAACTGCCGCAAAAAAAAAATGTAAATAGAGGAGAAAGTCGCGCCGAGATATTTGTGAAAATGCAGGACCTCGCTCTTCTTAGTGCTTCTGATCGTCAACTTTAACCCTGGGGATCGCACCATTCTTTATTTTTATATATTTTTTTTACACACTCATACTTTTTTCTTTCGTTAATACTAAGACGTGCGCACGTTATTTTGTCTCTTGTCAACAATCCGATCGATTTTAAAGACGGACGCCGAAGCGGAGATTAATGCGAAACGTTCGCACGGAATACTGAAAAGAGAAAGTGGAAATTTAATTAATATATTCTATTTCACATGGTTCCTGAAATCCCTCTAAAAATAAATTGCATCAAGTTTCCTTCGGCATATCGACCTTAAATTCGATCGTGAATGTCAATATAAACTGAGCTGCTTCCGCTCTTTCTCGATCAAGTACAGTCAAACATTATAAAAATCTAATCAGGCTTTTCTTCAAAAGATGATACTACAAAAAAGGAAGTAGAACAAAATAAACTCGTCGAAAAGTGGATACGTATCGTTCGATTATCAAATAATATACGAGCTTCTCCTTCTTTTCCTTCTTTCATCTCATTTCGTATGCAATATAAGTGTATCGTTAATTTCTCGATTTATAACTATCATAATCATATTTTCACATGGTTTTAGTTAATATTAATTTATATACGAGTCCTATACATACATGTATAACAAAAAACCTCGTCGACCGAGAGTCATCTATCCACCGCGCGAAAACCGGAAATCGGGCAAGTACGTGTTACTCATGTATTTTCGAAACTCGAAAGGAAAAAAGAAGAACGTCGAGCTCGGATTATTCAAAATGGAACGCGAATGTTTATTTAGAGAAGATTTTTTTTCTTCTTAGCCTCGACATTTCTTTTTTTTCTCTTCTTGCCCTAGAGAAAAGTTTACAAATAATTCTTCTACAATTCCGACATTCTCACATTCGAAATCGTCTTATGATTGTATTGATTACAATAAAAAATTTATTTGCATCAAGATCTGCAAACTGGCTCGTAGGGAGAAATGTTATTTCCGGGGCCCTTCAATTTGATAGGTGCATTTGATAGATTTTTTACTGAGAAAAAGAATGCTGCAAATGACAATGCGTTACGATCAATAGTTTTCGAGTTATCTTAAAAAATATAAATAATTGTGCATGAAGTGGGCAATCTCACGGATGATGTTGATGTTGATATATGTTGTTAAAGTCATGACCCTGAATAACATCCAAAAGGATTTAGTTGTTGGTTGATATTTATTAAAGAGTTATTAACAAAAGAATGTTATTAAATATACCATACAATATAATTTCAATGAACGGTTAAATATGTGTATATTTTTTAGTAATAATTCACTCCTGGGACATAGGTTTGGGTTAGGTTATATCTTCCGCAAGTGGAACCCCTCCGTAGGAGGGGAGGGGGGGCGGAACCCACTGCGTCCACGCAAGGAATTTCTGTTTTATTAAAAAAAAATTTATTGATTTAAAAAAAATATATCAAAATTTCAAAATTTTTGTATCATACTGTAACAAAGAAACATAAATATATACTGCCTAATGTACATTAGAATCGTATAGTACAGGTATGAATAATAATAACACAATGTCAAACAAGGATTGTAATATAAAAACAAATATTATGGTGAGTGAAGGGAAGGGGAAGTGTCGTGTCAGAGTTGTGTTGGGGTCACAGGGTCACTTAAACCTAACTCATTTTCTAGAGGTAAAGCATTTGAAACATCGATATCTCGAAAACTGTTGATCGTAGCGCATTAGGGTTTGTGGCATCCTTTTTGTCGGTAAAAAATCTATCAAATGCACCTATGAAATTGAGGAAACCCGGAATTAACATTCTTGCCGGCTCGTATTCTATCTATGCTTTATATCATTGATGTTCATCAATAGGCTATCACCTTTCTTTACTTCTTTTTGGGGCTTTCACGCGACAGATATTTCAGTCGAATAATGGACGACGTACATAAAATGAGGAAAATAAAAAAAAAGATGATACGAAAATCTAATAGTCACGGTATTACCTAAGATAACTAAATGTACTTCTAAGATATTCGTTTTCTTCGATGACGCAATGATGCTCGGATGATATATAATACAATATTAGGAAAGACATATCTCGATAATGTTCGATGCAAATACAACCATACATACGGAACCACAACTCCTTCTACACAAAACGTACAATACAACTCAACTCCATTATATATGTATGTGTGTGTATTCGATTATTTGTTTCTTTTCTCTTCTCTCTCATGGTGCTAAAACGAAATATTACGTATCGTAAATCGTAATACGGTGGTTCATAAGAAATCTAACGCGAGTTTTCTTTTTTTTTCTTCTTCACGTCTCTAAACGACAAGACAGGCACTTTATAGTGTCACAAAATGCTTCTACGTCTGAACCTTGTTTTACAGTTTCATATCAATCGTTTCTATCATCTTTTCTTTCCTTTTTGTTCTGCAAGACACGTTAAAGACAGTTACGTTGGACTTACAGCGAAGAACACACGTGATGCAGACAAACATTTTGCCCTCGGAAAGATGTTCTTATCGACTAAATAGTAAATCTTGGTAAGTTTCATGTCTTAACACGTGTCTCTCTTTCTCTTTCTTTTTTTTAACGGTGCAAATGAGAAAAAGTATTCATCTTCGTCATAAAGCTCTAAGTTAGCGGCCTCAAACGGATATGCAATTCTTACGCAATCGGCTCAGAACACAAGTGAACCAATTTCTCTATATTGTAAACGCCAACATATAAATTGCGATATTTTTATACGTGGAAAATAATTGCTAAAATAATTTCTCTCTTCAGTATAAGGAAACTGAATCAACAACGAATCAAATATAATCAATAATCAGTACGTAATTCTTGAGAACATTGAAAACAAGTTATATTCTATCGTTTACACATCTATTCGTCGCGCTAATCGGATCAAAACACACCAAAAACATATTGCTCTGCTTCACCGCTTCCTTAATCTCTGTCGAAAAATACAAGTCCGACACGAAGACCAATCTTCTTTCTGTCTACGATCTCTCATTAAACAATAATATATTAGAATAGGTCCTATGCACTTGTTCACACATTTGTTTGTGGTATTATCTATTAAGATTCTCGCGCTATAAATAATATGCGTTTCTTGCTAACTCTCTCTCTCTCTCCCCGATTTGAATTTTCTTCTTTCTTTTTTTAGAGAGTTAATATAATACTAGTTTTATATTTTTAGAAAATAACCGACGATCGCGCGAGCGTGCGCGCTTATGTTTCCTCGATGATAATCCATCAAAATTGTGGCAAAAGCTCATCTCAGGCAACAGCGCATGCATTGTGAAACATGTTTCATTTTCTTATTTCCTTCCAAAACTAAGCTAAGACTTTTTTGAGTTCAGTTTTACACGCCCCAACTGTAATTAGATTTTTTTATCGAGGAAAACAAGATCTCTACCATCAGATCGCTCATAGCTTTTTCTGATTTAATTTTGTTGTTCGCACTCGCAAGATGCAAGAATCGAGCATTTTTTTAACTGTGCAACCGCTCTCTCGATACTCCATCACGGTATCGTATATGTTCTATCTATCAATCTATATGCATACATAATGAATATATGCATGCATATGTGTATACATATACATGACGCCGCAAATAAAATAATATTCACGTACGATATACACATATGTATGCATATATACATGTATATATATATATGTATATTTATTCATTTATATATATATATATACGTTTATATTTATTATATATTATTGAATTATTGTGCCGTTTCCGTTTTGGGAGGGTGATTCATTATTTCTTTCTTTTTTTCGCATCGCGTTTGCATAACCGCACTCTCATGTCTCTTACGATTACAATCTAATCGCACCACTGCCTCTTTTAATGACCTTTGGCAGCTTCCTTCGCTGCCATTATTAAAGGTGTTAATGACGCTAGTGGCCTGGCTAATTTCAGAAAAGGATGCTGCAATCCAATTTAAACACATATTTCGAATTAAATCAGCTCGAGCGAAAGATATGAAGAGAAGGTTCGCGTTCTGTATCAACAATAATGGTTTCTCTTACCTTCAACAGTTCGGAAGCCGCGGACCGTTTTTCCACTTCAACCTCCAAACACTGATCTAGAAAATCTTGAAATATACCCGACAATTTATCCTTTTCCTTGATTTCCGGCTTGCCGTTCGTCGCGATCAAGTACAACGCTCTTAACGGGTTTTCATTCAGATACGGTGGTTCCCCTTCGATCATCTCGATCGCCATTATTCCTAATGACCATATATCAACCTGCGATATCAAGGTACATTTGATTATACGCTTTCAATCGATTTTCGTAATAACAATTGATGCGTGAATCTACCTTAGGTCCGTACTGCTTTCGTGTCACCACTTCTGGCGCCATCCAATACGGCGTGCCGACCATCGTCGTCCGTTTGCTCTGCTCTGGCGAGATTTGCGCGCAAAAGCCAAAATCTGTCAACTTCACCCCTCCGTCTAGACCCAGAAGGATATTGTCGGACTTAATGTCCCTGTGTATAACCTGATTACAATGAAGGAACTCTAGTGCCTGCAGTACTTCTCTGCACACTGCGGCAATTTGACCTTCGTCCATACAAGTCTCGGTCACAACATCTGTCAAACTGCCACCTGGCAAATATTCCATGACTACCCACAGTTCTTCCCCGACTAAATAACTATCCAAGTAATTTACAACGTTCGGATGTTTGTTCTCCCGCATTACCAGAATCTCGTTTATAATAAGCTCTTTTTTTGGCTGTTGCGATAGATTCATTTGTTTTATTGCAACCTCCATGCCAGTGGACGTTTCTATCGCTGTATACACCGTTCCCGAAGCACTGCAAATCGTGATCGTTAATCAGTACAATTATATACTTTTAGTATAATTACTCATTTATGAATCATTGTTTTCATGTCTTACCCTTGTCCGATCTTTTCCATTTTCGTATATTTTCTATTAGGATCTCCTACGCTCACAATTGTTCTAAGCTTTTCTAGTATTTCGTCGTCTGACATTTTCTTCTTTCTAGCTTTGTCACCTTGTGCCGGTCGCGTCTGATCAGTCGTTGTTGACGTCGGTGTCGCTTGATTCTTATTCCTATCTAACTGAGATTGATGTTGCTGCTGTTGCATGCCGTTTCGTTGCGGCGAACCCAGCGTAGTCGTCAGGGGTGGCGGTGGTTCCTCTTCTATAGGTTTCGTATACTGTATAATAAAAGTAAGACATTACAGATAGTTGGTAAAATAATCACTGGTGGATAAAAATCGCACATTTCTTAATGCACAAACTTACGATCGATTTCGTACGTTCCGGCCGGGCGGAGATCGGTGGAGGCGGCGGCTCATCCTCCTGTTCCGAACTGGTCGCACACGCATCCGTCGGCGTGCTACTTGGACTACTGCTGCTTACCCTGTAACCGTTGCCGTTTCTCAGAAAATATTTAAATGACTAAGGGACAAACGCGTAAAAGTGTAAAAGACTCACCTGCTCAACGAATGCTGGGAGTGAGAGCTTCCAGATGCCTGGGACATTGCTTGGCCGCGAATATTTCCCACACCCGTGCCGATACCAATCCCCATACTTCGGGGACTACTCGCCCTTTCGATTGGAGCTAAAAAGGTTTTATCTATCGATAGTATGGTCACTAGTAATGTATTTTTGTTGAATTCAAATTATTTCTTTGTAGACGACCTGATATCTCAATACTTACCAACAACTCCTACCATTTTAGTTGTGGTCATGTACTTGGAGCCTTTCGCCTCCTTACTGCTACTATCATACCAATTTAATACATCCAACACAGCCTGTGGATTCTTCTTCTGCTCCTGCTTACTAATGTTGCTAGACATAAGCAATCTTGCCCATGCCTCCGGCATACCCTGTGAAAAAAAACACACTGTGAGACAATGATTATTGTATTTTTATTGTAGAACAGACAAATGGTAAGTAATCCGGCAAGTCTGGTAAATTTAACGCTAGTGTTTAAGGTGCACTTAGTACTAATCCTAGATTTTGATTTTTAAACATGCAACTATATATGATGTGTAAAGGAATAAAGATTAAGAAGTATTTCTGTGTTATGTATATTTGTAATGCTAATAAATTTAATTCAAGATATAATCAAAAACCTACATTTGTTTTTTGTCATTCGGGAATATAATTCAGAATTTTTAATATTTAATAAAATACTTTTCTACAATTGTGTCATATTTATACAACAAAAAAATTTGAAAAAATTTTCTAAATTTTGATTATTTAAATATTTTAATATATGTATGCGAAATTTTAAGGATTTAATAAAGTCACCATTTAATTTTCTATAAAACTCGCTATTTGAATACACATGCACAATTTTGATAGAAAGAGTTAACATAATATGTAAATAAAATTTACAAAACTGATATAATTTAGCTATCCTAGCTGCTGTGCCGAAAATCATTCTGTGAGAAAGAAACAAATATTGTTATATGCAACGTCGACTAAAGCTTGTATCAATCTACAGAAGCGACTATGTATCGACGAAACTCGACGTAATGAATGGAAAGTAAACATCTAATCTCATAAAAACCGCAACGAAAAGAAAGTGTCGAATCCACGTGTATATGTATGTACAACAGGCACAAACCAAACTGTATTAATTTACTTACTTTTAATGGCAGCTTGGAAAGAAATACGTGTCTTGTTAGTTTAGTTATGTGAAAATAATAAGATATAAGAAGCGTCGGACAAATTACCAAAGTACCGTTTTCAATATGTTCAAATGTATATGTGAACCAATGAACTCATATCTCATTTCGATCAGGTACGGAAAATCCATGTGATTCTCACACACAAAAGAATACAATAGTAAGTAGAAAGTAATATACAAAAAGATATCAAATAATATAGAATAATTTACACATAATGTAAAACTCTCTTTTTCTTTTTCTCCACCGCGTCTCTCTCATAGATAATCCGCACCGTGATACAACAGCAAAGCGGTAAGCGAGTGCATTTTGAACAATAGGGTGTAGAGAGGCGATTGTGCGAACCGCGTGGAATCGCAAGAGAAAAACCTACCGTGAATTCGCCGGTCACAGCATCAAATCCGACGTGCACGGTGTGCTCGAAGTTCGTGGGGTAACTAATATTCGGTTTGTTCTCCTTCACCTTTATTTTACCCTTCAACGTCTTCTTCTTGCGTTCATCAGAATCCGGCTCCTTAGGCAGCGGACGCATGTCCACTGGTAAATTAGGCGCTGATTCCCCCCTGAAAATGTAAATAACATTAAAGAATCTATCGCAATCACAATTTAATGATTATCCAATGATCTTGTTTTGTATTAATCTTTTGTATTAATCGTATACATTTTATCACAGAAATATTTTAAAGATTTTAAAATTACTATTGCTGGCATAAACATTGTAAGATGTAAAAATTTCTCTGTTTGTGTATATATATAT